CAAATTGGCATTTTTAGCATTCAGTCCCGGATCCCAGCTGTACGAGCTGATCAAGAAGAACAACTTCCAAGGTTTCAGTATCGCGCTCATCCGTCGCTTCGCCTTCTCCCTCCTCCAGTGTCTCAAGGTCCTTCATAGGGAGAAGATCATACACTGTGATCTCAAGCCGGTACACTATCACACTTATCTGTTTCCTTGTTTGTTTGTTTTTTGTATTGTTTGTTGTTGTTTGTTTGTTTGCTTGTTGTTGTTATTTGATTGTTTGTTTGCTCGTTTGTCGTTGTTGTTTGATTGTTTGTTTGTTTGTTTGATTGTTGTTGTTTGATTGTTGTTGTTGTTTGATTATTTGTTTGTTTGATTGTTGTTGTTTGATTGTTTGTTTGTTTGTTTGTTTGTTTGTTTGTTTGTACTGCACTATGTTATGCTTCCCAGGAAGTCTAGATGCTATCAAAATGCTATCAGGTCTGCTGGGATAATAATAACAATAACATGTTGTTGTTGTTGTTTTCAAATCACTTTAGCTGCGAGCATTTCGCTCTTGGCAGCGCAATGCCTCCATCAAGTAACCACATGTCCTTGTCATCTGGTCAACACCCGAGGAACAAACAATATCATAGATTGCAGCTTGTAAATCGCATAAAGCTTGCTGTTCAGCAGGAATTTGCGTTAGGCAAATGCAATCTAATATTAATATTATTTGTATAATGCAAGTTTGTGATTTGTTTGGGAAATGACGTGCCGTGGCTAAAACTGTAGTAATTGTAGTTGTTAACCATCCACGTCGACACAGTTTGGATCTCGAAGAACAGATGCCCACTGGTCAAATGCGGGATCGAATTTGTTTGCTGATTTATTTGAGTAAAGAGAAGCTAATCGACTCAGAAACGGTTATTTTGTGTAAGGAAACAGTAAGACTTCACCCTATCCCTACGCCCGGGGGTCATTTTGTACCCCAGGGGTTGTATTCTTCATATTAAAATTTTAGAATACTTCTGGTACTAAGATCTCTTGGAAACTTTCAGTATTTCGAAAAAAAAAATCATTTTGACAGACTGCTATGCAAAGCGTACGGATCGGATTAAGGAGTAAATTTCCTCTTTGGAAAGTGGTGGCACAGAGTGCCCCGTGTCGTTTGGATACGATAGTAAGACACGACGTACGGATAGGGTTAAGTGGGGGCACAGAGTTCCCCATGTCGTTTGGATACGATAGTAAGACACGACGTACGGATTGGGTTAAGTGAGGGCACAGAGTTCCCCACGTCGTATGGATACGATAGTAAAACACGACGTACGTATAGAGTTAAGTGGTAGCACAGAGTTCCCCACGTCGTATGGATACGATAGTAAAACACGTGGATTAAGACACACAGCCACGTGTGACAGAACAGCACGAACCAAAGTCTACACTGAAAGAAATATGTGTATTGGGAATGTTGGCCATTTCAAAACCATATTTTAGTCTAAATACAGTTGCATAAAAGCCTCAAGGTAATAAAGGTCAGAAAAATGTGTTTAAAAAACCAAAAAAAACGTTGATATTGTTCCGAGAAAAAAGGAGAAAAAAAATATTAACAATTATTTTCGAGATCGAGTATTTTTTAAGGGCTATAACTCTGTAATTAAGGGCAGTAACATCCAGTATTTCTTTTTCACATAGTATGTTGTGTAGTTTCCCCTTTCGTCTATCGTTATGTTGAGAACTAATTTTATTTACTTTTTAAAAAATTCGACTCACACACGTATTTCTCTTACCTCTTCTAATTCTTGTGTTCGGGAATTTATTCAATTTTTTGTTGTTGATAGTTTTCAATGCATTACACTTTCTACATGGCCAAAATTGAGCCGATAGTGCCGTAAAACACCTACTCTATCAATCACAATTTCTACCGTTGCAGCTTCAACTGCTTTACGTTTTGGAACCGTTTCGGGATATTATACATGCTCAATCTCGGCTAATTCCTGTGAAAAAGACTGTAATAATAGAAGTTTTATGCCCCTTTCGACACAATCTAAATCATTTAGGAGGCGGGCTGCTTCGACCCTCCTGTAGGGCCAACCAAGGTTAAAATGGATGCATCATCCTAGCAATCAGGTGGAGTGACTCAATATACAATATCTCCCAACACAGGAAATGAACGCGTGTCTTCTGTGTGCGACGGCTAAGTGCTTAATTGCTTCACTGCAGATGCCAGTTAGTTTTCTTGCCTTAATTAGATCCACATACCCCCTCCTCACACCCATCCCCGCTACCGTACTCTAAAAGGGTAATGATGAAGGAACACGTGTTTATTTGTTCCATTCTGTGGTGTAGTTTTGTGTTTTTGTACACATAAAACCATTCTATTGTACGTATTCAAGAGTGGCTCAAAGTCTAAAAATGTGTATATTATGGTTGTATGTTGTAAAAATCTATGGGTTTTATTTTCTCACGTGCTCTCATGTGTCTTCCAGGAAAACATCCTGTTACGACAAAGAGGTCAAAGTTCAATTAAGGTCATCGACTTTGGCTCAAGTTGCTACGAGCATCAGAGAGGTGAGAATGGGTCTTTTTTTAAACTGCTTTTGAGAGAGAGAGAGAGAGAGAGAGAGAGAGAGAGAGAGAGAGAGAGAGAGAGAGAGAGAGAGAGAGAGAGA